AAAAGGAAATTCAACAACAAAATTTCCCCCTAAGAAACTAGAACTGAGCACACCTATAGTGTCGGTATCCACCTCTGCAACAATTGAAGACGAACACTCTAATAAATATGCAGAAACTGAAACAAATGGAAATATAACTAAAGTTTTTAACAATGAAACATCGAGGGGCAAGGACTTGAAAGCCTTGACTAGTAGAACGACGACTATACCACCAGAAAATAAACAAACAGAGACCTCATCCGCAGAAGTCCCTGCTGAAATAACTACGTCTGAAATCGAAAAAGACATCTCAAAAATAAAACTTTTTACGAATTATCAAGAAAAGTTGACTGAGAATTCTACATCGGGCTTTGTTATAAGTTTGAATCAAACAAGAGAAAATACCACAAAAACACCAGTCATGGATACAACAACAGTAGCTTATGAAGTAACACTTCAAGATAAATCAGAAAAAAAGCAACAAAAAACGACTACCATATCTTCAAGAGAGGAAAAAGAGGGAACAACTGCTAAAATTTTGTTATCTACCATAACTGCTCCCTCTGTGACGGACAGATTGGTGGAAACAACAACAAAAAAACTGGAATCCTCAAACATAATCACAGCTACTGATGATTCTGGACAGAGTGTGAACTTGACAAATAGTAGTTTGTTTTCAGACCTTACATCAACTACTCCGACACTTTTAACTACAGAATCAAACACTGAGTTTGACATGACCGTGAAAACAAACCAAGTTTCAGAGAAGTACGATGATGGAGAAAGAAAACGTAGTACTGTGTCATATTCTATACAAGAACCAGAAATGACTACCCAGAAAATGGAAACTTCTAGATCAGACATAACATCAACAGCTCATTCTAACGAAAATGTAACCAAATCTGTAGAAAAATTAACAACAATGTCTAATATCGTAACGATGAATAAGGAAACAGGAAAACCTGAATCAAAAAATACCCTAGAAATACTAAACCACAAAGAATTTACTACAAAAGCCAGTCCAACAAACGAATTTACGAAAGAATCAAATCAGAAATGCAAGCATGGCGTTTATAGACCTGATCCAACTAACTGCAGAAAATATTTTCTCTGTAGTCATGGAATTGAATTCTCAATGTCATGTCCCTTTGGTACCGTCTGGGATGAAGCAAACTCAACTTGCGTAGTTTCTGATAATATAGACTGTGTCAAGGGGTTTGATTCCACTAAAATTAAAGACAAAGGTAAGTTGTTGGATAATTATTTTTAAATAAAGTAAAAAAAAAATCTCTTGCATTTTTTCTCTTGTTAATTTGGTGGAATTGTATTTAAATTGAAGCAAGCGGCAAGGATTTATCACTACAGATTTAGGTAAATTCGTTCTGATAATAAACCAGTACGCAACGATGTCAATTTTTGTTGGTACAGGTAAACGGTTAAAAGTGTGTTGCCATAGAGATGTACTGTGTTTGTCATAATATTAACAATTTCAAAGAGACAAATACAGATTGAGGACAGTTTGCTCAAGAAAAAAAATGTTTGTTTATTGCCAAAAGCTTAAGCACATTGATGGGCAATGTATTACATTATTATCTTTAATTCAAAATTGATTTTTTTTATTCATTTAAGGTGAAAATGTGTTCCACTGCCCAAAACAATTTGGATTTTTTCCAAATGCAGACGATAAATCCAAGTACTATCAATGTGTCTGGGGTAAACCGTACACGAAATATTGCCCCAAATATACTGCATGGGATTCCGATCGCTCAACATGTCGCTGGATATGAAATGTAAGAATAATAGATGTGAGAGAGAGCGAAAGAGTACATTGTATGATCATTTTTATAGTCGCTGTTTTAAATGATTCTTATCAATGATTTACTATGTAGCAGCCGATAAAGTCTTACAATTAATGAAATGTATTATAATTCGATAAAAGGATATAATTTAATAGGGTCAAATTAGGTATCCTTTAACTAGCTATATATAATTTAATAGGGTCAAATTAGGTATCCTTTAACTACTGTAGCTATATATAATTTAATAGGGTCAAATTAGGTATCCTTTAACTAGCTATATGTAATTTAATAGGGTCAAATTAGGTATCCTTTACAATGTAACTAGCTATATGTAGTATATTTCTTGTGTTCTATACTAAGCACAGCTCTATAAGACAAAATAATTTTGGTTGGATGAATTTATAAGATACTGCATTTCTTTATATTTTTATCACTGAGATTGCGTTTAAAAATGACTACTCTTCGATTTATCCCGTGAAGAATTGCCTAGGCGGACTAACAGAGACAGAAACATGTATACACTTGTCTTTTATTTTTCATCAATCAGCAACTGATCAAAAAATGCTTTAATTTCAATTTCATACTGCAAGAGGATCCGAGAAAAAAAAAAATAAAAAAACGATTTTATAATTTAGCTTTAAAGAGTTAAATTTATTATTGTTTGTGAGATCCTAAGTAGCGAGAATGTATTTTTTTTTTTTTTTACTGAACTCCAGACTTTAAGTTGATTTAATCTGGTTAAATCTATTACTTCTTGCATCCCTTTCCAGTTTTTGCACATTAGATATATAATTATTGGTGGGGGTTTTCTTTCCAGGTTGTCCGATTGACGGTGGAAGTTGATGTTATTGATGATTGCAGAGAATGATTATGTATACATTGAGCCATTAATAAAATTAATACACAAGCCAGAGATTTTTTTCTTGATTTTTGGGGAATGAGGTTTAAAATATTTTTCGTTTAGTCGATTTTGGTGAAATGATTTGATAATTCGCCATTGAAATAACTGGCATTGCATACCACCAAAGATAAGGTTGCTAGAATTCTAGCTCAATGGTAACAATTAAAAAAAAACGTAGATATTTTTTTCTTAAAGAAGACTCCAAATGAAGAAAACAATTGTTTGAATACTCATTTTGAACTGCTTGTAGTTTTATAGATATTGTTGACAAATTTGATCGTTTGGATATGAAGTATATGTATGATTTACGATTCGTAGATTATCACTTTCAAATTTATTACTTGTATGATGATAGAGGGGCGTGGCTTAAAACATATTGTAAACAGCCTGGAAAAGTATACACTCATCAGATGCAATGGAATAACACACGGTGGAATATTATTATAACGAACGGATTGACCGACAGGAATAATGAACAAGGTGAAGATAACTAACAGTGATCGATCTCAAAGGGGGGGGGGGGGGTCTAAAACAATAAAAATCTGTGAACAGAGCATATAACGCGGACCCTCGGAAATTCCAGAGGTGGGATCAGGTGCCTAGGTGGATAAGCATCCCCTTTCGACCGGTCATACCCGCCATGATGCCTATGTATTGATCAAGTAGCCCGAATATCCCGTAGTCAAATTAAGTATAAAATTGGTATGAAAGGCGTCAGCCAAAATACGACCTCAATGGTCGGTTATATTTGCTTACAAAGTCATTATTATAACTACCATAGAATTTACGAAATCATGACTTAAACAAGGTTGTTGAAACAGTTGCTTCGATACAAAAACTTGAACGTACTCAGAATAAGTTTGGAGACGTAAACATCATATACAGGGGATAGTGGAACATTACAACAAAATAAGGAAAGTTGACGATGGAAAAGCTGAAGTCTAGCTGCAAAAATGTAGTCCTCTCCGATTTTTATTTTGGGTCAATTCATGCCCTGCATAACTACGTTTTTGAGTTCAGTTAAGAAATGTTAATAAAATAGCCACTTAAATTACTGATAATTTGAGCCAGAATATGTGCGGTAGTGAATCACTTCCGCACTCGTACCATTACGATCATATGGAGTTGTAGCCCCCCCCCCCCCAAAAAAAAAAAAAAAATCGGAGAGGACTACATTATTGCAGCTAAAAAGTGTAGTCACTTTCTTCAAATGTTCAAAGTGAGACTCTGTCAATTCATTCATTCATTCATTCATTCAATCTTTATTTTCCCCCTTTCGGAGATTTCGTGATACATACAAATTAAATATCACAATACATAAAGAACGTCCTAGAAAATAGTTATAGCGGGTGAAAATAACATATATTATACTTTCATGTAAATTAGTTGAATCTGATTCGTGGAGAAACATTTGTTCTAAAACACTATTTCCCGCTGAAAAATGAAGGCACGCCCTCCAGCGTAGCAACAGTCAACATTGCTTGACGACGGATGTTATTCCAAAAAAAAATATTGACTGCGCAGAATTGATGCGCGCAAGGTTCACTGTTATAGGTATTTGTATAAAACATTCAGTATAATATAATAAATATACTGCATATGTAGTTGAGTGTAACATTGAAATGTTACACTCAACTACATGCAGTATTTATATAATATACATGTCAAAGAGAACCGAATTGGATTTAAATCGATATAATGTTGGACTGATTCCAAAATGGTTATATACTTGTCACTCGACGGAATATTTTCACCACTATTCATAATATTTCTACAAAATAAGGAAAGTTGACGACGGAAAAGCTGAAGTCTAGCTGCAATAATGTTGTCCTCTCCTATTTTTATTTTGGACCAATTATATTCATGTCCTGCATAACTATATTTTTGAGTTCAGGTAAGAAATGTTAATAAAATAGCCACTTAAATAACTGATAATTTGAGCCAAAATATGTGCGGTAGTGAATCACTCCCTCACTCGCACCATTACCTGATTACGGAGATCATAATTATGGAGTTGTAGCCCCCAACCCCCACAATAAAAAAAAAATCGGAAAGGGCTAAAAGTGTAGTCATTTTCTTCAAATGTTCAAAGTGTGACTCTGTCAAGAAATTGGGAATCACTGTTTTACGATAAAATCTTGGGGGGGGGAGGGGGGGGGGCAAATAATTTATCACTACTAACTTCGATCAAGAGGAAAAGAAAAAAAAGTTTATTAACTATAAAACCGGGAAATAATCAGTGGCGTTGTTGGTTTTGGACTTCATCGTCCTCGCTTCCTTTCCGAGTAAATTTTGCAATCAATCACAACATCATCATCATGATCATGAACCATGTGAACGTGAACATGCAACATTGTTTAATTTGTTATTAGGTCTTAGCTTTGTTATGTTAATGGATAATTATTTCAAGGCAGCACAGCACGGTGACCTTGTATATTTTAAAACATTAAATACAAATGAAGGCGGAAAACTTTTAACATTGAACACGCAGTACGACAAATCGGGTGACACTGCGCTCCACATAGCAGCTAGATGTGGCCACTTGACTCTTGTGCAGCATCTTATAGACTCTGGCGCCGATATAGAAACCTCGAATCTTGACGGGAAAAGACCCCTCCATGAGGCAGCTCAAGCTGGTCAGGTTAGCTGTGTGCAGTGCTTACTGAAGGCTGGGGCACAGGTGGACAGTTTAAAGCGGGCAGACTGGTCAGTGAGTAACTGTAGATTATCCGTTGTTTTTAGGTAATGATTACAGTGGTTAAATATAGGATCTCCCATGATTTGTAGTTGGATATGATTTTTATCCAACGAGTTGTGTGTTTTTTTATCCCCGAGCCTTGGCGAGGAGATAAAAACACACAACGAGTTGGATAAAAGTCATATCCAACTACAAATCTTGGGAGATTCTTTTTATCCCATGTTTAATACTTCACAACCAATGTTTTACACAGTTTTATATAGGACTCCACTTTATTTTACTTCATCACGCAAACGCAAAAACCATTGTGACGTCACAACTGTGGATTATGAAAAAATTATCCAATGAGTCATATCCACGGGATAAAGGGGTAAACATGGGATAAATACATATCTACGATCTATTGTTATCTAGCCAAATATTTTTGAGGAGAGTGAGGAATCATTAGTTTTTTTTTTAACAATAACTGAATAAAGCATTATTTAACAACAACCAGTGAGCTTTGCAAGTATGAAGCTCACTTGTTGTTGTTCACATTGCTTTATTGTTAAAACTGTGCTTACTATAGGTTTGCATTGTGATGCATGTATTCTAGGACTCCCTTGATGCTTGCCTGCACCAAAGATAATGAAGATACTATTAGACTTCTTATGAAGTTTGGAGCCAATGTCCACTTAAGAAACAAAGATGGATGGACACCATTTCACATAGCTTGCAGGTCAGAAAACAGTACTCAAAAGTTAGATTTTCCATGAAATGAATCTAACAAGCATTACAAATGCATTGCTCAATGTTTGCCTATCGTAGGTTATTGACAGTTCTGTTATATCTTAAATTCAAATTGCTCAGGCTCATCATGTTTTTAGAATCTGTAAAAATGGTAAATGTGGTAATTTAAACATGTGTATAATGGTTTGGGCTGTAATATCTGCCTGGGTAGCTCAGTAGGTAGAACTTATGACTAGTGATGCAGGGGTCCCGGGTTTCAACTCCTGGACCGGCCATACATTTTCTCCTTTCTTGTTAAATAAATTGGTACTGTTAACCACCCCTCGACTTGCAGGTGAAAGTCCTGCCAGGGGCAAGACGAACTTGGGTTGTGTGTTCTAGAGCAGAGACAATTTAAGGAGGGAGGAATGTAGTGTTTTTGGCTGTGGATGTCGGCTTGGGTAGCTCAGTAGGTAGAGCATCTGACTAGTCAGTAGTGATGCACGGGTTCTGGGTTTTATTCCCGGTCTAGCCATATATTTTCTCCTTTCCTATTGCACATGTTTATACATTCATGTAAGACAATAAAGACATGTATGTTTCATTGGCTAACTTATGATTTCAAAAAAATCCTGAGATACAAAGTACATTAAAAAAATTTAATTTTTGGTAATCTAAAAGAACCAGGCTTTTGAAAATGAATATTATTTTCTCCAGAAAATCAAGCATTTAATATAAATTTGTGTGAATGACAATTTGTACTTTGCTTTGAATTGAAGGGAAGGCCACTTAAACATTGTTCAGCTCCTGTTTTACCATGATGACTCTGTCTGGAAAACTGCCAGTAAGAACAAACGGACCCCTCTACATACTGCAGGTAATTTAAGTTCAACAATACACCTTTACAATTTCTAATGCAGTATACATGCTGTGCATGTACTTGTAAAATGCAGTTACATACAGTTGATAAATTCAGAGGCTGTTTCTCTGGAGAAACAAGGTTGGGTTTCATATTTTTGAAGTGCAGATTAAATTGAAATGTACCGAGATTTCATTGCTTTTTTCTGACAAAAAAATCTAAGAAAACCTTTGACCTTCAAATGACCATGTCAAAGATTTCAAGTTGATGAAAGATTTCATTTTTCCAATTATTCTGTACTTGTAGATATGTTTGAGGATTTGGTAAGAAAGTTGACATCCATGTGATTAAAACTCCATCCCTAGAACATAGCAAATCAAATGTACATACTATTTCATTTCAGGTGCCTCAATTCTGTTTGTATCATTTCAGCTCTACATGGCTGTGTTGCTGTTGTCTCATTTCTTTTGGACAAAGGGAATTATCCCCCAGACAGCAAGGACAGTGCTGGGACTACCCCTTTGATGGATGCCATTAGATCAGGTCATAATCATGTAGCAGAAGCCCTTATCTCTAGACTAAAGGTATAGGGTCAAAATCAGGTAGTGTAATCAATCACTGACCAGAGGAATTACATGGCAGTACAGTTGAACTTCGGTATCTAGAACATAGATATATTGAGTACCATGAATATTGAATATTTGAAGTGTTGGGAATATCTGTCTTGAAAGAGTTTTTATTTTTTTTGTAGGCCAGTGTTTATGAAGAGGATAATTTTGGATTACAGCCTCTTCACCTAGCTGCTCAGTCTGGATGTTTAACCTCTGTCAAGTTTCTGGTGGAAAGATTAAATACCAAGGTTGACTCAAGGTCATCAAAAGGATTTACAGCCCTAATTGTGGCTGCAAAGGTACATGTAGATGGATTAAATATATGTATTTAAATTCAACGAGTTATTATATCAAATTCATTCTGTAAAAGAAATAACTGTGCAGACGTTTATGTATTTTTATGAAGGACATTGAAGAACATTGAAATGTCCTTCCAGAAGTGGTAGATCACCTGTTCAATGTGTTTGAGATACCATGTCTAATATTTGAGGTTCTGGTTGAAAGTTCCATTCTAGCTAATATTTTTCCTTTAAAAAATAACTTACATGTACATCTGCAAATTTTAGTGTTTAAAGTTTGGATTTTAAGTATCCTACGGTGGCTGCTATAGGACATATGATTGAGATATTTTTTTCTAAATTCGTTCCCACGAAATAAAAATTTGTTCCCACAAAATAAAATTCGTTCGCATGAAATAAATTCGTTCTCACAAAATTCATTCCCACAAAATAAAAATTTGTTCCTATGATATAAAATTTGTTCCCACGAAATATTCGTTCCCATGGAATAAAAAAATGTATATTTTTGTAGTTAGATATGAATTATGCAATGCAATATGCATACACAAAAGTATCTTTTTGGTTTTATAAAAATTAAGATAAATATATATGAATCATATAATATGATATAATTATACTTTTTAGTCATATCAAATTTATCATAATACTCAAAAAATAAGGAGGCAGAAAGATACTCTTGCCCCCCCCCCCTTCTCACTGCACATTTGAAAGTGAGGGGGGGGGGGGGGCAACTGCCCCCATTGCCCCCCTTTGGCTATGCCTGTGCTACATGAAGACGTAATGTATAATTGCATACATGAACAACAGGAGCCCATTTCAACACCAGAACTCCTGACCCTGGGATCATAAGTTTCACAATTTTGGTAGAGTAATGCATGCTCATAATAACCATTTTAATAACAACTACTGGTGAAAAAGCTCTAAAACTTATTTCTTTTGCAGATACAGATGTTAACATGAATGGGTACATGATATGTTTAATGACCCTTTGTGATCATGAGGCTTTGTTAATTATATATTGTTGCAGTACAGCATTTGTTTCCTGTTTTAATACATGTCTTGTTATAAGGAAATGAATTTTTTTTTTGTGGGAACGAAATTTATTTCAAGGGAATGAAATTTATTTTGTGGGAATGCATTTTATTTCTTGGGAATGAATTTTAATTTCGTGGGAACAATTTTTTATTTTGTGGGAACAAATTCAATTTCATGGGAACAAATTTTTATTTCATGGGTTCGTGGGAACAAATTTTAAAAATATATCTCAAGCATATGTCCCATAGCAGCCACTGTAGTATCCTCAGTGTATGTGTGTATGTTTATATGAGGCAAATTTCTGAGACCCTTGCACTTCCACATTTTTGGTATAAATTTAAATAAAGAGAATTACCGTAAGCATCATCTGTATAATTAGATAAATTAGTATCAGTAAAACCATGAAATTCAGAAAACAAGTAAAACATACCGTCATCTTTCTACAATGAATTTTTGCCATAATTTTACTGAAAAAGTTTAAGACCAAGAGAAAAAAAGATGAGATATGTAAAATTTCACTCATCTGCATCATTGTACTTCATGATGACACTCTTACTTGCACAGGTAAATGTATGTGTACGAAGCTTAAGAAATAATAAAATCTTTTGCCAATCAGAAACTAGTTTAATAAATGAAATATTAAAGATACTGTAATTAGGCATACCTACCAAATTACCAACTTTTATCTACTTCAGGAGGGTCAGTTATCAGTGGTGTCCTACCTAGTGTCTTCTGGATCAGATGTCAATCTCACAGACAACAAGGGAAGGACAGGTATGCATATATACCAATACAGTTGAACTTCGATATGTCGAACACTTATATGTTGAATACCCATACATGTGATAAGTCAGAGACCACAAAACTGTACAGGAGCCATAAAAAAAACTGGAATTTGGGTGAAAAAACTGTGCACTGCCTATCAAAAAACGGTAAAAAAAACGGTATAAAATATCGCTTAAATTCTTCTGATAAGGCACCTTATTTCTAAACCAACAAATATATGTTGTTGCAAATGTCTTATTTTAAAAGTTGTAATGGAGATTTGAATGCTTTAAAATTTCATATATCGTGTTTTATAATCACAATGTTCTTATGAATCGACTATAAATTAAACTAGTTTAGATGACAGTTTGTTTGCCAGCTTTATATAGTATTAACGTGAGAGTCAATGTCTCCAATTTACATCTTGTTCATATTACTGATATAAACATCAGCAATTCTAAATAACAGCAGCAAATAAAATCATACATAAATTTCAGTACATAAAAACTTAAAACTATATATCCTTTATTTCAGCGGTAATCATGGTAATAAACATCGTATATTTTATACCTACGGAGATCTGGGTCAGATTCAAGTATATTAAGTCGTGTATATCAACTTTAGAAGTTGGCTTAATTTTTTTCAATCAAGTTACGAAACATTAACAGTTATAATTAAGTACCCCTTTAAAAATAAAGCTACCTAAAGGGGCATACAGATTTATAGCAAGATAATTATCCCAACGGATTTATAGCAAGATAATTATCCCAATTGGCAGTTCACAAATTCACACCTTCACATGCGATAGTTTGTGTACACTACACAATTATCAGAAGGTCAAGTGTCAAACACAGGTGACGTTTTCCAGTGTCGAGCGAGCGAGAATGAGAGGAAAATGGCGGCATTTAGCGAGAAATTCAAAAAACTGTACAAATTTTCATATTCTGTGAATTTTGGTGTCCCGCCGGTACACGATGAATGGGCTCGAAAAAAACTGTACATTTTGCCTACCGCCGGTACATATCACATGTATTAATACCTGGGATTTGTCAAAGTCATTTGGAAGTCCCAACCACTTTTTCTTTAAGTATTTTAACCCTGATATCTCGAATCCTTGAATATCTCAAAGGTTTTTCTCAGTCCCATCGAGTTTGAGATAATGAAGTTTGACTGTACTTAACTTTGATTTTTGAATGTATCAGTGTTTGTATTTTTGTTTGGTATCAAAGTGGTTTAACAGGAAACTTATAAAAAATTTTCAGAAAATTAATTTGCATGAGAGATTTCTCTCATATTTGTCACCAAAAAAGGAAAAATTCACTAATTTTATTTCACTTATTAGAGAGTAATATCTTTTCAGCTTTACACATTGCTGCTGGGGCTCAACATTCAGACACCTGTGAATTCCTCCTACAGCATGGAGCTGTGATCAAGGCAGACAACTCTGGCACCACACCAGACATGCTAACCAGGAAACCAGAAGTCTGCAGACTATTTCAAAATTATCAAACTCTAGGAAAATGATAGTAATGAAAGAGAGTGTATTTAAACAATAAAAAGAATGACTGAGGGAATCATTATTTTTTTGTGTGAATTTCTTGGATATGACAAGATTTTATACAACATAAAAAATAATGAACTTTTCACATCCAATAGGAAAATTAATACATGTTAAATTTAAATGTTTTATTTGATATTCCTGAAATACAAAATATTTAATTTCCTTTTGTTCTTGTCTCTTTTTCCTTTTAAATTATTGGTCATTGAATAGACTCCTATCAAAGGGCAGATAACCAGAACATCCTTGTGCATTACATAAACAAGGTATTAAATTTGTGTCTTCTTCTTCTAATAGTGAATCATTTTTCGTATTTATTTCACTTGAATGTCCATAGTGAAATGTCAGCTCTTCTCCAGTGTTTATCTTTCTGTTGGCAAACAAACATAACAGGGGGACTTCATTATTAACTCTAATGGGAATCATTGTCAAATTAGGATCACAACTGTGATTCAGAAATCTGCCAACATTACCAAAGTATCTAGGGTCCACATGAGTTTTTATCACCCCACTTTTGCAGTGTTCATTGACAGTTATAATGTAATTCATGTCTTCTTTCTGCTGAGCTAAGCTGCGATTCTTGGCTTCCTCATAAGTCAAAACTTCCCCTGCATATTCACATACAAACATCCCAGGACTTAGATCCTCAAGAGTTTTGACACCTACACCTTTGTCTGCAGAGCAGAAAAGCTCAAGCTTTATCTGTACTCCATGTTGAACCTTTTTATTCACACAGTTTTTTGAACAACTGCAATTGCTGTTGCACTCGACAATCAACTTCTGTTCTTTTCCATGAAGATATTTACTATAGAGTTTTCCATCTTCTGAATAATTTCTACCAAAACGTTGGATACAGGGGCAATCATTCAAACATTCCTTGCAAGGGCAACCTTCAAAAAGGGAGTTAAATTTCTCCTTCTGTGTGCCTGGACCTGGAAGGTTGTGCTTTACATACTGAAACTAAAGAAATGAATTGTAGTTAGATTAACTTGCCCATTACTTAGTTTCTGTCTATGATTTATTTAAAACAATCTGTCAAAAAGATTTACAGCTCCTAACTAGTAGAACAGTAAGACATTTTTTTTTTTTTTTAATTTAATCATTTACATGTGAAATAAATTTTACTAATACACAGATCTATACTGGTCTAGAAGAGTAGCATCAAAGTACCTACTGTATACACATGTACCTACACGAAGATCACAAAGAAATTGTACTGTGTGAAGAACTTCTGTAATACAAGAAACAAAACCTACTTCCCCTCTACCACAGATTTCATTAATTGATTAAGGTTACTAATTTATAGAGACAGCCAAAATTAAAATATTAATATCTTTGTTTTGTCTACTTGCTATTTCAATCATTGGTTATAAATTCTCAATTTGTATATCTACATGTATGTATGTCTTTGTTACCATATAGAGGGGGTATGATTTTTTTAAATCTATTTCTTTATTTGCAACTTATTGGTAAAAATTTACAGGTACCTATACTAAGACTGAGAGTATAAGGTTAGGGTAGTCCACGTTTAAAGGGTTGTATGTTTGTTCGCCCTAAAATGTGTTCGCTCTTGATGCCGTTCGCCCTAATTCTCATTCGCCCAGAGTCCGATCGCCCTAAAACTTGTTAGCACAGGGTCCGTTCGCCTTATTTATATTGCAAAAAGTTGAATAATGAACCAATGAATTTTTTTTAATAAATAATATGTACATTGGTACATAAATTGCACACAGGAGACAACAGACGTATGCATGTGGTCACAATAAAATACCTCTCCTATCAAAGACCTGGCAGACCAACAGAAATTAACATCTCCGTCCTTTAATTGTTTTCAAAACATAACGCAGATTGTAAAAAAAACACGGATATGATCCCCTAAATTACAGTGACATTATTAAGTATAATTAAACCAGTTAAGCATGAAAAGCATTACTATCAAATTTGAATTGTTTAATTAAGATTACGGTAAAAAAAAAATTCTGTAGCAACATTTAAAAAAAAAAAAAACGCCCAGTCGTAAAATATTGAATAAAATTCATAATAAATGTTAATATTTACTATATACTGTATACATATTATGGCGAACGAGATATAGGGCGAACAAGAATAATGGCGAATGGACCCTGCGCGAACGGACTCATGCAAACAGGTAGATAGGGCGAACGAACCATTCTCTATTGAGAAGTTGATGGGTTGTTTTATACTCCCCCTCAACGTCTCTACGAAAGGCCTAATAAAAGCAGTTCAGAAATTGACTAAATGAAGAACCGAACCGGACCCCACTTCAATCGCTGATTTAGGTCTGATGCGATATCATAGACGTAGTCTGGATGCACATATTTTATTTTGCCATAGAAATGGGAATAAAATACCAATTCTGCTGACTTAAAACACGTTTTTAATGATAGAACACTTACTTGCGATATCTGTGTCGCCGGATTCTTTTATTCATTCAAAACTGCGTTTGAACCCGGGTTGACCTCTAAACAAGTCTAAAACTATTCCTCCGGATAACTATTTAACACTGGAACATTGAATCTAATTTATCCAGAGAAAAAGTTTTAGACTTTTTTAGAGGTCAACCGGGTACAAACGCAGTTTTGAATGAATAAACGAATCTGGTGACACAGATATCGCAAGTAAGTGTTCTTCCATGATAAATGTTTTGTAAGTCAGCAGAATCGGTATTTTTTACCGCATTTCCATTGCAAAACAACATCTGTGCATCCAAAATATGTCTATGATAATGCATCAACCCTAAAACATCGATCGAAGTGGGACCCGGTTTGGTTCTTCATTTAGTCAATTTCTGAACTGCTTTTATTAGGCCTCTCGTAGAGAAGTTGAGGGGGAGTATAAAACGACCCATCTACTTCTCAATAGAGAATAGCGAACGAACCTGATACCCGTTTAAAGTGACATTATTTTCTTTAGTGGTGGGTGTTTACCTTTATGTCTCGTGTTATAAACTTTCCACTCTTTCTGCAATTTATTGGATATTTTTCTAAACCATTTGTCCAATCGCTCTGAGTATCACGAATCGTTTTGTCCATGATATTTTGCCATGAACACAGACTAAAAAAACAATACCGGAAGTTCAAAGAGAACTGAAAAAAACCTACATGAAAACCAATGGCGGTCTCGTTCCGTGGTCGTGTACCAACACAATCAAAATACAAATAACATATTATCTTTTTTTTTTTTAATTAAGTATCTTTATTAAGATTATGTGCTATAACTAGCTGAAGCCTGAAAAGTTGAAAACCTGTCATTAAAAATGGTCTTTTCACATCGGGATTGAAGTTCGTTTCTGTAAACAAAGATGTCTGCGCCTAGGCTGCACTGTTTGATGGTTTTAAGTTCAGCTGTTGAAGGTAAAATACAAATATAAGCTCAAAGGCAGAGCAGTATTTTATCATGAAACTCAAGGAACATTTCTTTTTTGTTCATTTGTTAAAAATCAAATGTCGTTTCCTTAACATATACTTTACAAACGTTTCTTACAGTTTTGTTGTAGAAGTGGGCGTGTCTTAGCCATCACCAAATGTATCACTATCAGGTCCAACACAATCTCTTGATTTAGCTATATAGCTTGAATAACCTATATAGATTTAATAAGCCATACAAAATAGATTGATTAAGCTATTCAAATGCAGTTTTCACATGCACATACTTTTTATATGACATTGACAAAAAGTTGCAAGTATGTGACTAATCATATTTGTATTACAGACTATAATAGAAAAAGAGTAACCTAAATCAAAGATTATTAGATAGTTAAAGCATTGCTGCTTTTGAACACTTAAAAAAAAACAAATGTATCTCCATAAAATTAACTACTTTATTTTTTATAAACAATTTTACTCTAATACAAAATTATATGAATTTTTTTCAATACCTGAATAATTTAAACATTACAGGAGTTTCAGCCCATTCTTTCATTCAGGCATACACTCTTGCAAGCTCAAATTTCTCCATTCAGCTGGCCTCACCTCATGTAAGTTGATTTATAAAGCCATTCAGATCATGTCAGATCAAGACAAATTTATACAGACTCTTAAAACTTTGCAAAGCAGATGTCATATCTTAAACATGAATTAAAAAATACAATGTAATATATGAAGAAAATTTACATCTATAGATGCAGCAAGTACTTGTTTATGCATTTCAGGGTAAGAATATAGAATATGTTCAGCAAGATGACAACAACAGAAGATGGTTCAATGAGTTTCGTAGCAAATCTTCATCTACTCCAATAGCCTTTGAAACTGTTGATTGTAAGTTTTTCAAATGAATCATATTATAAACTTTCTATTGAGAAAAAAGGATTAAATACTGTAAATCACTTTATATGCGAGGACTTTATTTTCATATAACCACGCAAGTCTGTCTGCTCGCAAAAATTTCATTCTCGCGTATATTTTTGTTAGTATAGATTATATACATTACAATATTACCCAGAATTCGTGAAAATTTTGTCTCGCTTATGAATACCAAATACATGTACCTTTCTTGGGAAAATAAGGTGTCACAAAAAGTTGGTGATCTACAGTAGAATAGAATTAAAAGATTTTTTGTATATAAGCAATTTGACAGTCTGTGGAAGGTTTGATTTTTATCAGACTAGCAATTTAAAGACATGTGATATATATATTGTCCTGATAAGGATAGATCTTCTGTAAATTCAGTTGACCATGATTCATGTTGAACAATAATTGAATAAGAAAAGATGAGTAAAAATTGACATCAGTGTTTGAATTTGAAGCTGCTAGGTACTCTGCCTTGTTGATTCCATCTTCACCAGGAGCTGTGCATGATCTGGCAAATAACACAGAACTCTCACAGATCATCACTCATTTCATCAAAGAAAAAAGTAAGACATGATCACATCAATTTTTCAAGTTACCATTCAAATTGGATTTATAAGCCTTGAGATATCACCAAAATAGTGCATTTTAAGGAAGAAAAATATTGTTTTCTAATTGTAGTATGAAGGTCATTTGCAAATGGTACTTCAGGTATGACAGAGTTTACGAACTTTATGCATTTATATAAAATTTGATTTTTAGAGCCAATATGTGCAATTGGAATGGGGGTTGCAGCCCTTTGTTGTGCAAGGTCACCTGACAGCAAACAATGGGGTTTCCAGGACTATAGTCTGACAGGGGTAGGTTTTATAATAAACATTTGTAATACTGTTTGAGTAGAAATATTTCTTGCAAATTATTTTCTAAAGAGTGGCTTCAATTTTCTTGATGCTACTTATTTTTTTTTTAATAAAAATATGTTGTCATCAATTGTACAAGGAAAATCAGGTTTAAGGAATTAAATTAAAATTAAAATCCATCTTTCATTTCTCACTTCATTTATGTCACCAAAACAAGTAGCAAAATGTCGAGAACTACTGTACATGTACATAAATTGGCATATTTAAAATTTAGCATAATCAAGGGGTATGGAGTTGTTGGCATAATCATGAATTAGCACTACACATTTCTGTGCCATGTATTGTATTGATAAATGATTTATTAGCAGTATTCTTGAATTAGCGCATCGTTGTTTGTGCCAAAGCTTCTAAAATATGAAGCCCGCTTTTTTAAGTACACATACAGTAATTTGAATCAAGTTGAAGGAGGTTATATCACTTTCTGGTCATCAGTCTTATCAGTTTTCTGACAGTGTACTGTTTCTAAAATAATGTGAACAGATATTTAAAAGTTTTAGGAGAAGAAGTGCCTTGAGGCAGGAAAATAATGATAAAAGGATTTTAAGACAGGAAGATCTAGTGAAAAATACAGATTTGTATATTTGCATTAAATTTTTTCAACATCAGCTGATTGTCAGCAAGATAATACAATCATGTGTATTTCATAAGGTCAATACATGTATCAATTTTTGTCCAATACGATACACACTAAATATAATAGCATAACAGTAATTTTACATTCATGACAAGAATTTAAGAAAAAAATGTGAAATTTTTTTTGTACAGCCCTCTGTGTTTGAACTGGCCAGAAATCAAGATTTTGCATCACTTCCTGTTATTGTCGAAGACTTCATCAAAGATTACGGGGGGAAATACAATAGTAAGTCTATGACTGACATAAGTAAAGGTGTATGTACATACATTAGGTGTCCACACTTAGTTGAACATGAACATTGATATCCATTATGTAATGTTACTGTGACATGAGAGGTCAACATTACCGCTACATTGCAAAAAATTTCAACTCATTACCGCCTCGAAATTTCGGGTGATCATTACCGTTACATTTTGTCAATTAGACTATTGCTCATTATAACTTATTTCCACTGCATATTTAATCTGCCAGCAATGACATGGAACATAAGTTCTATTCATCATAATTCATACATGTATAAGAGATTTCCAGACAGCAGTATGTCAAGCAAATGGCCTTCAAATCTCTACCAATTATGTAAAGACTGTGTGTTTTATCCATGAACAATGCTCGGCTTTAACACTTCCTAAAATGTTTTATTAAATAAAATAGATTTTAAATAAAAATTGAAAGCAAAAACAAAAACATTATTGCTCAAAGTCTTACTTTCATCTCCCCATGGTGAGCAGGGGAAACAGGTCTTTTGGGTGTAATGTACTTTGAACAGTTTAACTTTTTAATCAACCTGAGTACATGCATAAGCCACTGGCTAACGAAAGAGGCAATGTAGTGGTAATATGTACTTTAAATGTAGTGGTGATGTAACCTTTTTTGTAGCAGTAATGAGTATGTAGCGGTAATGAGTATGTAGTGGTAATGACAATTTTGAAAATGTAGCGGTAATGATACTCACTCTGTGACATACACATTGATGCATGGTGATGTTCTGACCTTTTAGCTATTTCATGTTGTGAAAAAAAATGTGAAGCTTGTAACACTTTGGCAGAATCAGTTAATACATTGTTTTTTGTATATGGACCATGTACATGTAGATTAGATAAAAGTATCCATATATGTCACATAATCCTTTCATGTTGCTTTGCAAATTAAAGGATATTATTTTAAAACATTTATTGCCCTTTAAGTAGTGATTTAATTTTATATGTGTTCAGAACGATTCTTTAGGTAGTACAACCTTGACTGACTACTATTTCGTCAGATTTCTTAATTAATATCAAGTATGATCATGTAAATTTACACACTCAAAGTGAACACACTTTTTATTGTATTTCTTCTTTGTCAGACATTGAGATGCAAAACATATTTGTACAATACACAACTCCTCAAATTTTGGTTGTTATTTTTTTTAGAAATCTTGATATGATGTACTCATATATAAAGAGTTTTTTTTTTTTTTGTCTTGAACTGAAAAGTGACAAAATCTTTAGAAATGTTTTATTTTTCCAGACAGTGACATGGATGCAGTTCATGTGATCATAGACAGACATTTAATAACAGGACAAAATGCACAGTCTACATTAATGGCAGTACAGAACTTAACTTTAATGTGTGCCCAAAAGTAGGTACCGGTTGATGTCTCCCAATTCCCCTGTTCTTATTTCTGCCAGAAGCTTTGATCTGCATATATTTTATTTGCCATATTTTTACAAGCTTTGTATTTATTTGCAATTCATTTGACCAATGTTGTTTTGTTGTAAAAATGAGATTCTTTATACAAAGAAATACTGTGCCTTAAGCTTGTTGTTTTATTCTTTTATTATATTCATATTGTTATAGCTAGGTGAAGTATATAAGGAATGGGATGAAATATATCATGAATGGATGTGATTTTTTATGTTTAGATTTATTTGCATCTTTCCATTGTTTGTTTTCTGTAGTAAACATGCAGTAACAGCCAGCAGGGATATGAGGTGAATACTGTAAGCATTTCCTTTAATACTGATAAACAGATAGGTCCTCAATATACACACTTGTATCCCATATTTGATTCTTCCCTCCCCCTGCAAATTTAAGTACCTCTTCCTATCCCCACTCCATTTTTCAACATTAAAAAAAGCTGTTAATATAAACTAAAAAAAATCAGATTTGTTTTAAGCATATAGACCTCTTCAAGGAAAGGTATTCTTTTGAGTTGAATTATATATATATAAAACATATACATGTATGGTCAATACTCAATTAAAATCAGTGAGTAAGGGTTTTACACTTATATATTAATTACTTAAGACATACATTTCACCTGTTTTTTTCTTAAAGCGACAAAGCTTATCAAGTCCTTTGACAAGGCTATATATCCATTGCATTTGGGTCTGGCAATAGAACCCAGTGTCCCAATTGCAGAAAAAACCCTTTTCCCTAAAAATGAAGATAAAAATTCCTTAATGGCAAACAGATTGTAATTTTCAGTGCTTTTCATATGCAGGCCTCTATGTTTCCTCTAAAGCTTAGGCGCTAACTGGCTCCTAAGCAAAACAATTTTGTCGCCAATGCAAATTTTTAGTCGCCAGGTAAATCTTATTTTTCTTAGGCACCAATTTAAAAAACTGATATTAGTCAATATATAGAGACAGGTCCTTTGCTTACTTTTAAACTTATTTTCTACTCTTTATAAAAAATAATTGAAAATGTTTAAAGTTCAGTAATTAGACGATCACCAAGTCAATTAAAAATGGTCGACAATTTGGCGACTTACAGAAAAAAAAAATTTGCGCCGATCATAACTTTTAGGTGCCATGGCGACTAAGTTAGTTGCCATTTAGAGCCCTGATATGAAATATAAATTCTCAGATTATTGAATAGATTACAAAGATGTGAATAGAGGATATTAAGCATACAATCTAAACTGTCTTTAATTTACAGTAAAACATAGTTTAAGTCATTAATATCTCACTATTTTGCCACTTCTTTATTTTAATGACCCTCTATATACTGATGAATTTTTTTTTTTGGACTTTGAGAAAATTATATAGCGTAAAGGAGGCTATTTTGAAATCAATTAATTCATTTCTAATATAGAGAGCTTGCCTTTTTTTATCCAGGAAAAATCTTTAAAGTCAGTGAAGTAATGACAAAGAAAAACTGCTTTTGCTTACTCAAATGGAGAAAATACAAGCAAATAAAGTTTTCAACTACTCTATCTTGGTCTAAAATAATATTTAGAATACATGGATTTATTTTAGATTTTGTCATACAGTGCAGATTACAATTTATTCTATTTTATGTCAAATGGAGGGTCAGTCTAACTACACGAAAGTACATGTACCCAGAAATTAGGGTGTAGTGTAGAGAGGGCCCTTAAATACCCAGTGGAGAGATAGTAGTCCAAAAAGGGCCACTTAAGCCCAGTTTGACCTTCTAAATCAATATCTAGTAAATCGCTTTGAATATGCAAATTTTGTTTGTCAGTCGTTGCTTTATTGACTGCATTTTTATTATTTTCCATGATTACATTATACACTGACTTAAAAATGTGTAATTTTGTCGAAGAATGTATTGATTTCACAACATTCATACTAGTATATTTTGCCCCAAAACCTAGATGCTTTATTAGGGCTCCACAAGATTTGTGGTTGCCATATAGTAATCGTTTTGTCTGTCTGTCTAGCTGTCCATCAAGCTGTCCGTCTGTCATTCTTCCGTCAACAAATTTTCTTTTTTTTTTCTAATAACTTTTTTTATGGTAGTCCTATTAAGTTCACGTTTGGTATGTTGGTTAAATAACAGTAAGATTTATTTTGATAATTTTGATTCTCTTTGTCATCCGGTTTGGAGCTGTGGTGGTGGGGTAAATTCCTAACTTTATGTAAGACTGAATGGGTAAAGAGAGATAACTGCTGAAAATTTTCCTTTTAAACTATGAAAGTTACACTGAGTCCCTGTGATTAATTAACTCATCTGCTGTAGAATGTCCAGAGCCTGATCTCTGTCTGTCACATCAAGAATAATTAACACATCTGCTTGGAAGTGATGTTTATTTTGAATTACGTTCAATCATGAATGATGTTTGCATTCACAGAAAGGTGGGTTTTTATGATGTTCATACCTTTCTCTGGTGAAAATACATATTTTATTGAAATATAATTTTAATGGAGAATTAATGCAAGAAAAAGAAAGAGTTTAAAATATAAGTTTTTATTGCTGTCTAGTGTAAATTCAAGGAAACTGTTAATATAATAGGTACAGTAATAATAGCCTCATTCTATCATGATTGCTGAAAATGTTCTTATTGTTAACTTAGAATAAAAGGTTGTAAACGTACGATGAAAGGATAAAACAGCAGTGTAGTTATTAATCCTATGGGAGTAATTACCTTGCCTACTGTAGAAAATCCACTACCTTATTTTATATATTACATTAAGATTAATTAACACATCTGTTTGCAATGAAATATATGAAGATAACGAACAATATTCAGGCTCAAAAGTCCATCAAACAATACAAAATAGGAGCAGAGCAAACACGGACCTCCAAACATCAGAGGTGGGATCAGGTGCCATGGAGGAGTGAGCATCCCCTGCCGACCGGTCACACCCGCTGTGTGTTTGTCATGATCGGGAAATAACGGAAAAATCCGTCGACAATTCAGTGTGTAAATATTGGCCTAACAATTTGTATGAAAAACGTCAGTCAGCATTTGACTCAATGATAAATTGTATATATTTGCTGACAAGGTCATTGTATCGACCATAGAACTTACGAAATGATTACTTTAAACGAGACAGCTGATATTCTTGTTTCATCAACTTGTTTGTCAATAATTTACCTCGTTTTAGAAATTGTACATATGTAGAGCATGCTTTTGCGTATCGAATCAACTGAGAGATATATACCCCGTATGCAGGTGATGAAGGTATATTGCTGCATAAGTAAGGGAAGTTGACGATTGAAAAGTTAAAGTCATCACGTTTATCAAGTAAAATATCCAAATGTGAAACAGGTGTGTCAGACTCTGTGGTACCTTTTATCTCAAGCTAACAAGGATATATCGTATCGACATAAGAATGGAAATAGCCATTGTTAATTGACAATACGTCGTCGATATATCTAAATGTCGAGTTGAAGGCCACAGCAAGTGTTTTCTTCTTTTCACGTACAAGATTTTGGACAAATTCTGCTTCATATGAATACAAAAAAAGGTCTGCTAATAACGGGGCGCAATTGGTACCCATGGGAATTCCAATAGATTGTTGGAAGACCTGGTCTCCAAAAACCACATAGATATTGTCAATCAGAAACTCAAGCATCTTTTTAATGTCAACTTCAGAGTACTTGTGTGTACAATCAGAATGTTTTTTAACAAAATAATTTTGCAAATGACCAATGACAAGGATATATATAAATGCATTAATGCAAGTAATCTTTGTTTAGTTAATGTAAAGACTGGGTGATGTTTGCATTCACCAAAGACTGATATTTTGTGAAATGTATGTCCGTGTTTGCTCTGCCCCAAATTTGTATCGTTTCATTGGACTTTCGAGATTGAATACTGTTCGTTATCTTCATATTTCATTCTGGTTTAAATATACATTTAATGGAATTATTATATCTGATACTTTTTACTCCTTTGTATAAATCACATGGATACGATTAATTTCCAACAAGTAATCGGGTAATCCCATTTAGGAAATACCTTGAAATTTTATTAATCCAGTTGCTGTTTCATATATTTTTTAATTTTCCTTTTCAATTTTTTCCTAAGCCAAATTCTCATCATTTAAACTGCACTCTTAGATTTCTATTTCTCTACGGTGCCCTTGCTGACTGGTCAGTTTTCTAGTAAGTTGTTGAAAAAGCTACAGAATACACCTACACAATAATGAAATGCATTAAGTGTACCATATGAAACAAAAATTATTTGTGCCTCTTTTCAAAAATATCATACAGAATACATGTATATGTTAAGACTTCACTACCAGTATATCATAGTTTGTATCTATTATTTATGTTTATCTATTTTCAAATACTTGTAAAAATACCTGCCTAGTATTAAATAATTTTAAATAATTCTTAATGATATAAATTAATTAAAACTTTATGATTAGTTTTAAATTCAGAGTTTTATTTTGTAGCATAATATTTTAATGCAAAAAAGGTATCTTTTTTCTTACACATCTCATTTTGATTATTATTAACTGAATTTTTATTGATGACCGCATGCTTACAGTGATATACATTTATTAAATATCTCAAATAATTGATTTAATCTTGAGCCAAAACTATTTGCGTAGTACATTGAATATTTTGAATAATCATGTAACATATTAATAAATTAAAAAAAATATTTATGCAATATTATTATATTTCTCTGATGGAATGCATAAATTATGTCTTTGAATGGATATTTTCTCTGTTTTTAGGTATCCTCTTTCTCCAGCGTAAAGTACAGAACTTGAACTTAATTGTTATTAAAATTCATAAAAAGGAGGACAACTTAATTCCACCGTTTTAAGGAAAAAACATCACAATATACTCCTATAGGTGTTAATGATTATGCATTAATAAATGCATTTACATAATTACACAAAACATCAGTACAGAAGGCAAGGAGAAAACTACCAAAACACTCCAGGTGAATTATATGTGGAAACAATTATGGTTTTTGATTTTTTTTTTTTTTTTTTTGTGCATAGATGTCATTAACATTATCTTAAAGAACTATTTTACTTACATATTGCTGCCTGTTTTTCTCCACATCATCAATCAATCCGAAGCTTTTGACTTTTAAGCTTCTTTTCTTAAACAAATGAACCAATTTCAACAAATTTGGTATATAGCAACTAAGGAGTAAGGCCTAGGATAACAAGAGTTGTAATTTTCATGGTCTTTGGCACCCTGGGGCCTGAGATCAAATCCAATAAAAAATGAAAACAATCTAAAAAATTTTTTTCTTTTTTACTCCTGTTAATCAAGTTGTGAAACTATTGGGTTTTTTTTTAATAAGTAATAAGCCTTTTACAAAAAAAAAAAAAAAAAAAAAAAAAAAAAAATGGAAATCCGATTCCTCAGTTCAGGGTTCATTTCCCAGAGTGGTATTACAATAAAAAAAGAAAGAAAAAAATCGTCTTCCCTATCCCTGGACATCAAGTAGTCAAATCGATTATAATATGCTATGTAATTAGTCCTTTACCAAAAGTGTGAAATTCAAGACCCTTTTGTTTATGGTTCAGACCTAAGGGTAGGGTTCTGTTAGTAACCATAGTGTGTATTTAAAAAATATATATAACTGTTATATATTTCAATACATGCTATGGTTGTTTTATCTTTATGCAAGTCTTTACTAACTTCTGAAATATGGATTCACTCTCAATGTCATGTACACAGTGTTAGTAAGAAATTCTGCCAAATTAAGTGTGTTAAGTTTTCATAAAACCAAATTATTTGATTTTAGAGATTTTATTTGTACCTGTGTTAAGGAAATACGTAACGTAGTTTGTACTTTATTAGTTAAAGGAACTGTTTGCTACATTTTAATCTCAATATATACTGCTGCATACTTCTTCTAAAACAAGTTTGGATAAACGAAACATGCAGAATATATGTTTAATAATTTTTATATCGTTTTCTTTGAATTATACAAGAACTTTCATCAATTGATGTCTTTTCAAACCCCATGGTAATGCAAGCTGATCTTTTTGTCTACGAACATCTGATGGCACTAAAATCTTATATCAAGAATATCTTGAAAAATTATCAGTAGGTAAGGTACGTTGCGTATGTCCTTAAAATAGAAGTGATTTCTGACTTGATAGGGTAATCTCAGGAGTAAGATGCCAACTGGCAAATGTTCATGGCAATAATTATTTTTTTTAATACTCCAGGTCCAGGGTCTCTAGGTTTGGCTTAGTTGTTCATAAAATTGAAAATACATCTTTGAAATTCATTTTTTCATTCATGGACATTTAATACATTATTCCGTTGAATCGAAATACCGGATATCCCATTGAACACGAAATATTTACATTTCCAATGTCTTTGTCCGAGATAAAATTTCAAATAATAAAAATACTTTATTTCTACATAAGTCTACTGGTTCATCGATAGGCGTGGTGAAAAAAAAAATCACGTGCGGGGCGGGACAAATAGAGATAGAAGCGGGGCTTGTAGCACGTGAATTTGCAGAATCAAGAGCATGTAAATATAAGGATTAACTGTCGTTTATGCATAAAATTATCACGCAAGCCAATCGATTGATCATCGTCATGAAACCAAAAAATCTGACAGTTATTCCTTAATTAAAAGACACAACAAATCTGGCACATTTGTTTCATATTTGGATTTTTTTTATGAATGAAAGATATTGATGGCAAACTAACTACCGAACTTTATGATAGATATGAGGACTTCAATTTTTCTATCGTTAACTTCCCTTATTATTGTAATGACATACCATTATCACTTTACAGAAGAGCATGCCTTTTATACGTGCGAATGTTTTTTAAACTGAGACAGACTATTGACAAATAAGTTGATGATGCAAGGATATCAACAATATTGTTTAAGTCATCTTTTTGCAAGTTCTATAGACGATACAATGACCTAGTTTGCAAATTCAATCTGATAAGGTCGAATGTTTACTGAAGTTTTTCATACAAATTGTTAGTCCATTATTGGACTTTTGCGAGAAGCACTGACTTTTACGGTCGATGGCTTACTTTGACATTTTAAACCTGCCTAATGTACGGAATTGATAATAGACAAGAAAACCTCAAAAGTGGTTATAGGTATGGTGTTAGGGGCACTAACATGATTTACCGGTATGCAATCAACGCAAGAGATGATGGGAGGCAGAATTACATAATTTAAATTACTTTATTCGTGAGGGAAAACATCCCCTTTCAATCTCGTTTTCTAGATTAATCAAATAATGAAGAAAAAAACATTCCAGAAGAAAAACTAAGCCAGAGATGGTCAATGGGGGAAGAGAGCGGGTTTAGGGTATGGTGGTTGCCGTTCCCTTCCTAGACAACGTAATATTTGCTTTGAAATGACCCATTATTATTGGTTAATGAACTATTACGCATAATATTTATATCGCAAAAAAGCTTCTGTATATTGTCCTAGTGAAAAAGTAAGCCGTCGATTGTAAAAGTCAGCGCTTCTCGCAAAAGTCCATTACTGAATTGTCGACAGATTTCACCGTTTACCTATCATGACAAGGGGCCCAAAGCGGGTGTGAATAGATAAACTGGGATGCTTACTCCTCCGTGGCACCTAATCCCACTACTGATGTTTTCAAAGGTCCATGTTTGCTCTGCTCTAAATTTGTATTCTTTAATTAATTGGACTTTTGAGTGCGATAATTATTCGTTATGTTTTCTTTTTGAAAAACCATAACTGTTTAAGCTTGTTCTCGATAACAGAACCAGAGTAGAATACGTTTGTAATGCAAACATTTATTAAAATATACAGAGAATTTTGGCTACTTGTTGAAGTAATATGGACCAGGCTATGCCACAAGAGGCCCATCCTTTGTCAAATATAAATGCTCACTACAAAACTATCGATGGCATATCAAATGGCCCTAATTTAAAATTATTTTAAAAAAATCTATTTACAATGTGCTTATACAAAGGATTAACAAAAAGTGAGTGAACTGACTCCATAAAATTACTAGTTTCACTGAATGAGTGTGTCCGTGAGACATTGTCGAATAAGAATTCAAATGATTCATAAAAGCGATAGCGTCTGGTGAACTTAGCTTGCCTAATTTATTTGACGATAAAAAAGTAATTTTTAATTTTGTGTACTTAATTTTTTTATGAAACATTTGAACTCTCCTTATTTTGACGATAAGACTCACCGTCACTATTTATTAACTGATGATTTTATGAGTCAATTCACTAACTTTTGGACTAACTTCCTAAATAAATGTCTATTAAATACAAAAAATCAAAACTGTGTTCTTAGGACTATCTTCATTAGAATTTTTGTTCGATCTTTTGTATTCATGCAGTAAGGTTGTGACTCAAACAAACATATTCATTTCTGTTTGTATTAATGACAAGCAGAAATCAAATTATAGTCCTTTAAGAGTACATAATCTATACTTCCGTAAAAAAAAAAAATAAAAAAAGAACACGTCAAGTAGCAGACAGTGCGTCGCGGAACTTTGTTCTCCATTTGAGTGCAATACTTTTAACTAAAACTTGTATATGCTAATATTATTGTATCTGTTCAATCATTCAATGTATTTTCTTACATCTTTTTCTGTATTTATGTACACATATAAAAAACGTACCAAAAACTGTCGTGAATTCAAACCACCACAAGTACTTTAAGATACCTATAATGAAATAAAAGTCCTAATTAAGACATCATTTAAGATAGAAATAAAAATGAATCAAATTATAGATAAACCAGAAAAAGACATTTAAAAGAACAAATTACTAGTATTTTATGCGGAACAGATACGTATGTTAACAAAAATAATGAGAGGTTGCACTATAAGGTTCATTTTATGCACGTAAAATAATTCAAAATATATTCTATTTATTAATTAAGTCAATTACATTTTCAGTAAGTGTGTGTTCAGTAGATGCGGATTAAAAATATATGTAAATTTTCATCTTATTTTTTTTTCTTATTTTTTTTTAGCAGGAAAGACTTCTATTTCAGGCTTACATTAGATTTTGAACGCTTATGACAAGCACTAACTGATATATTAACTGAAATATTGAAACAAAACATCCTGTTTTATTCGCATTAATTACTTACGTAATCTAAACATAGCACTTTTACGGTGCGTGGCAGTCTTGTTTGAAAATGAATGTCAGAGAAACATCAAAAAGCACAATATGTGTCGATAATGTACGTGTCACTCCCTCGTGCTAAAGAAAACCTGTTCTTGATTTTTAACAAGCTTGAATCAGTGACTTATCATTGCAAAAAACATGTACGAAAATAAATTCTGTAAAAATCCTCATAAATATGAAATAAACGTTTTGTTACATTAGAATGTTTTGAAGAGCAGTTCCACAAATTGGCGTTGCCGTCTTAGAAGACTTCTTTTATTTGGTGATAAAGCTCATAGAATTTAAAAAAAAATACTATGATACGCTATGTTATGAGATATTAAATACGTAGAATTGCTATTGGACTGTTATTCAAAACCCCAGGTGTATGATTGTAATGGAAAAAAAGATTTTCTATTAAATTATGAATGTTAAAATCTAGGTAAAGATTTTATTAAATGTTTTACACAGTGTTTTGACAAATGGTATTTTTTGAAGTTCAAATTCTGAACTCTGAAGTCTTTAACTTTTCAAAACATGTATTAATTAGTGAATTTAAAAAAATCATTACCCCAATGCTAACTATTTTCAATTTCAAAAATATATCATTAACATTAAAATATTTTCTTTCAAGCAAATATGGCATTTTTTATGATAAGTAACTGTCTGATACGATATTCATTTTAACAATATGCCATAACAGACGTTTTACACACTCTGATACATTAGTACCCATGACCATAGTAATTAGGTTAATTTTTCTGCAGAAATTAGTGTTAACAAAAGTGTAAATATGTATTTTCTTTACCTTTACCCGCTTTATCCTTTACCTTTACCCGATTTATCCTTTACCTTTACCCGCTTTATCCTTTACCTTTACCCGATTTATCCATTCTGAAATTTGATATCACAATCTAAACAGGGGAATCTAATTATTCCTGAATTGAATATTATAATTAGTATATAAAAAATAAAGGCATATATATATATATATATATATATATATATATATATATATATATATATATATATATATATATATATATATATATATATATATATATATATATGATTTCCGATGGTACTTTAACAAGAGATAGATCAAAATAATTTTAAATCAAGAAAATCCGTATTTTAGGGAAGGTTAAGAAAAAATATTAAGCAATTTAATCAAAATGGGTGTTTAAATTGTCTGAAAGTTGAGAAAGAAATCAGAAACATGCACTGATTTGTTTTCTATTCAATTTTATTAGTGAACAAGGTTTTGTTCCGATGAGAACCATGCAGTCTATCTCTTATATTGCAGGATATTTTGCACATTAAATATCATTTGAAGTTTGCAAATGACCAAGAGACATTCATATCCGTATATATATATATATATATATATATATATATATATATATATATATATATATATATATATATATATATATATATATATATATATATATATATATATATATATATATATATATATATATATATATATATATATATATATATATACTCATTAGCATTACCCTTCTTTCTCAGTGATATGTTCAGAGGAAACAAATTGAACACACCCGTTAAATCGTAAACATGAACAATAACAGAGCTTTTGTCCTTCAAATACTGATGTTCAACATGTGATGTAATGTTATGAAGAATGTCGTTGTCATCGAATTCTAAGAATAATCATGCTAGTTTAATTCATTTAATTGAAGTTATTATATGAAATGTAGAAATTTAAAATTGCAAAGAAAACGTTAATGCATTCGTGCCCAGGCCCCTTTTAGAAGTAATGGAGAAAATATGCAATGGATATAAACATTTTTTATTAAATGTGAAAAAATAAAAATCAATATAAATATTTAGTGTAAGTGTTGTATGTGGATATATATATATATATATATATATATATATATATATATATATATATATATATATATATATATATATATATATATATATATATATATATATATATATATATATATATATATATATATATACAATGTGATGTACATCTCAGAATTTTTCCAGGTGACATTTTGTATAAATGACAGTAATATTGTTTTCCCAAACAATAGATTTTATTATAGTTTTTGAATTTATATATAAAGGAATTCGTTTGATCTCAATCACGTACGAGTTGACACGTATACGACGCACCATTCACTTTTTTCCGGAAAGATATTTTTTTTAATTTTTAAAGTAATTTAGTTTAACAAAATTTCGCATTATATCCGACTGGAAGAAAGTGTCATGCAAGGACTGAAGGAATATTTGAGGTAATCTTTATCATAGAATTCCTTGACTTTCTGGCATTTACATGATATAAAAATGTGCACTAGAAAAGACTACAAAACCACGAAACACAAGGTCACAATATGAATTATGCATGATAGTTTATTGCCACATACTAAATGATAAAGAGTAACAGTAATCAAATTTAACAGAAATATGTTAAAAACAAGATTGTAAAATAAACAGTATTTATAATGAGTATTATATACAGTAAAAATCACAATAACTTTTCTATATATTTTGTATACAGTTTGTTGTGCGTTGAGCACGTGGAAAAAGTTTCCACGTGCAAATGTTATTTATTTTTTTACAATAGCCATTCCTAAATTGACAATCTCGACCATTTGTTGTCACAATACATTTATCTGGGGCATCTTCATAGCTTACAGAGTTTCGCCTCCTGGACACATGAATTTGAATCTGTAATCACGAATTACGAATATATGTACATACATTGTTTCCAACAATGGAAGAAATTTATATCCATAAACGTGGAATAATTTATTATGTATAAAAAAAGAATTTTTGTATTGATTTTGATTATTGAAAGTTCTTAAGGAAACATAAATTTTCAGCAATAAGTATGCAATAATTTTTACTGATGAAAACAAGTTCCTTCTCTTTTTCCTCTGAAATATTGTGTTTATCATAATCTTTTGACTCCTTTGTGTCTAAAATTTCCATTTTAGGATCGCATTCCTGAAATATTAACGACTTTTATTTTGCAGTAATGTAAAGCTGTACTTAAAAAAATGCTTTACATTGCTAAGTATTGCCTAACTTTTTGTGAGTGTGTTTCCTAAGGACAAATGAAATACTTTCACAGAATATATATATAAGATTTAATAATTTCTGTTTATCATCCTACTATGAATTAATTTTTCAAATTTAAGTCAATTATTGCATAAACTATGGGAATCATTAACCCCTCCTTCGCATTAGTCTCCAACACAAATGATTTTATAAATGGGAGAATAAAGAGAAGATTAAATGATTCAAAGAAAGCTTCACTTATCCCTTTGCTATTGAAATGTAAATAGATTCTCTTTTTTCATATTTTGTGGTTATAGATGTACTGATTATTGGTTTTGGAATAATGACCTATTTCCAACTCACCTGACAGGTACAGTCGTATATCTTCATTCGGCCTTCGAAGGCGGGGGGAATTTCCTCATGGCTAATGATTTCCAATCGAGGACCATTTGTACTTGCTTAAACACGAGGAAATAAATTATAATAAATCAAACAATCAATAAAAATGAGACATATCCCGGGATGTAGATTTCTTTTCAAAGAATGTTTGGTCAATCAAATTGTGAGGGATTCACTTCACGTTTTTTATTTCACTTTTACGCCGTAGAAGATTCAAATTTCCCATCCAATGAGGAATATTGAAAAACGATTCCGTTATTTTAATTAAAAAAAATCAAGACACCAATCTTTTGATTAATTGAATCCTGTGCATTCGCAGATTCCTGAATATGATTGATCAAATATGGCAAAACTGTTTTATTAATGAAGCATCAAGGAAGGGTGCATTGCATCTCTTACCATAAATTTTATAATGTTTTTTCAAGTCCAGAATAGTAGGCCCACATGAAGTTGACCTTCCGTACAAGGTGATTGTTGTGTTTGGTAAAACCTCGGATCCCTAAAAAGAGAAAATGAAAAAAAAAAAAAATACTTGATATAGTTTGTGAGCAGTATTTCGGTTCGTCGCACCTGTTTGTTTTGCATATTGGGTCCTTCTTTCAAACGTTAATGTTAATTTCATTGTTTACGGTTTATACATTAATATAAAATAATTAGATAATTAACAGCTCTTTATCATCATATTTAGCACTTTATACAAGGCGTATTTCAACATTGTCTGACATAAAAACCACAATGAGAAGTTATCGTAAATTGAAACTGATAAACTAAAATAACTTGCTTGACGTTTAATTAACTATAAACATTCTTTATATCCAAAATAGCTTTCATTCCACGATTAATAAAATAAAAAAAGAGTCTGGTTTTGTAAGACTTACTCTGTATCTCCTCCTAACTGTTACAGTATAGGTTCTATCGAAAAGATCACCAGGTGGACCCTTTATATCATCAACAAAGGCTGTAAATGCTGCATGATAAAAACAGAACTTGATGTAAACAATATTTTATTCACAGAAGTGAATAGGATTGGGCATCAGGTTCTGCCTATTTTAGCCCTCTCCCTACATCGAGGCAATTGAAGCAAAAGTAAGAATGTACAAAAGAAGAAAACAAAAACAAAAAGTGAACAAAGGTACAGAAATAAGCAAAATTACAGAGAAAAATAAAAACAGAATGATTTATTTCATCTTAAGTTACAAGGTCCTTAATCAGTAGATTCACAGTGAATTCACTTCTCAAAAGATTCTTTCATTTCCACTATAAGCCTTTCAGAAATCTTTTCAAACTGAAGATAAAATAAGCATCTAGAGACACCAAATGTACTAAATTTGGACATATGTAATTTTCTCTGAAATGACCTTGTTCTTTCTTTGAAAGTGACTTGTATAGAAATTATTCTAATTTCCCTATAATAAATAAAATGGGACTGTAAAAAACGTTACCATTGAATTTTATTTCTTAGGAGGATTCACTGATGATAAACATACAATTCAAACTAGTTTATTAACTAATTTAAGTGTTACCCATGTATATACGATATTACTCAGATTTAATTGTTAAACGTAACTATTCACTATTTTTCATTTTTAAGTGGATTTGGTTTTAATGAAAGAAGATGAATATAACAGTGATCGATCTAAAAAAAAAAATCTATAAACAATACAAATCTGTGAATAAGGAATAAATTATAAATAAAGAAAAGCATCAGAATGCATACCCTTATAATTAAATAATTATTTAATTTAATTTAATTAATGATTTATTACATTTTTTTTACATAATGTTACATAAAGTATTTGCTTACTGAAAACTCTACACAGCAGGACTTAAAAAAAAGTGCAGTTAAATTATTTTTTTGACGCCAGTTTTGTCTGCAAGACGGATATTTTTACAGAACATTGTTTTATTTTTATCTAAGAAATGACAACTGAATCGGTTAACATAATCCATAAAGTTATGATTACCGTAGTATTCAACTGTGCGCTATAATACTCTTATAATTGCAAAATTAAGTTAAATAAATACATGTCTAAAAAATTAATTTTAATTCAAATATAACAGTAATGTGCTGATATGTACGATCCAAATAGTCAAATGCATGACATGACGCATGGTGCTTGATTTAAGGTGATTCACAAATATGCACTTAGGAAGTAAAATTGCATAAATTCTAAAAGTACGTTTACAGTGCAGTTTTATAAAATGATCCAATTAAAAATAAACGTATCTGTCACTTATAATACGTAAGGCAGATTTAATGATCCGTCTTGGAAAGAAGATGCATGTATATCTTGTAATTTTATACACATATATGTATATTTATATCCCCCTGAATCTTTACTTTTTAAAGATTTTTGTTTTACAAAAAATATTTTAAAAATGATTTATTGTAAAAGTAAATAATACAAAAATTAACTTGATTTCTCCTTTTTTATTTCTAAAAAAAGAGAACATTTTAATTTGTGCAAGAAGATTAAAATATTAAAGTATTAAGCATTAAGTTTAATATTATTTTCACATTCATAGTCTATTGAAAAAAAAGCAACGACTTTTGAAGCATTATAACATTTGTCGTTTTCATGACTCTAATCTTATTTGAATTCAATAAAAGAAACTTCAAGGGGGCATTTTTAATGCAATATCTATCTACAAAACAGTTTACAAAGAAACACAGATGAAATACCTACCATTTTGTGCCCTGCAAAAATACTGTTGATCATGACGAGGTTCCGTACAAGAAGCAATAACTTCATAAGTAAGTAAAAGAAACGTCAAAATTTGTATCGATAACATCTTCCGGATTAATGAGAGAATTCTAAGATTTGTGACTGGCACGGCAGGGTTCGGCTTTTTATACACAACTGTCACTTCCTACACATTATACGATGTCATCACTTCAGTTCTACAGAGTTTGAATTATTTAATTCTACACGTGTTTGGTGTCAAATTCCAAAAGGTCAGCTTGTGACAATGGAAAATTAATTTATGGATTTGTTTTCCTTGATCTAGATTTTATTCCATTCATAATCTTTGTTTCATAAGCAATATCGGAAAGTTTTGTCCAATAATGTATTTTCTCTGAAAGAAGATAGGCGTTAAATGTCCAGTTTAGCAGACGATTTGGTTTGCTGACAACAAGTGGACAGACTTTACAAAGTTATGAATATAGGAACATGTGATATAACATTAAAATACAAACAATTTAAATATCAAAGTCTGTTTATCTTTAAAAAGTTACGATGTCAAAGTACCACTTCACAACTTCGCGGTTGGAACGTTGTAAGATATATGTAATATATTTATATTAAATATATATGTATAATAATTTCAGTGTGTGGGAGTAATTGCTTTCGCTATCTATGCAACACAATCAATATTAAAGTTTATGTTGATCCTTTATAAATCAAACTGAAATACAGTGATTGTCTAAAAAATAAAATGATTCCTCGCCGTCACTAACAAGGAGTATATACCACTGTGCTATCGTTGCAACATACTAAATAAGGGATTTAAAACAACCCTAACAAAAATTTACTATAGTTAACTATGTTTTACTATAGTTTGCTATAGTTAACTATAGTAAATACTTTAATACCTTGATTTACCGTGAAACTTTACTGTAGAAATTTTTATGAGATTTTGAAGCTTAAAGTCTCCTACATTCAATACCAATTACGTAAACTTTGTAAACAATATATTTATATACAAGTAATATTTCCATTTAGTATTATAAAAATGTACAGGAATTAATTAGAGAACAAAACATATAACAATCTGAAATCTAAAGTAAAAATACTTTGATTCTCTATAGTGAAAACTTTTATTTACTATTATAGTATAAACTTTGAAAGTATAATAAACTAAAGTTAGCTATAGATATTGGGGAAAAAAATTTCTAGTCTCTGGGCCTTCTCACCATTTTTAACAAATGTTAGCTCGTTTTCAAATGCACACAAATTACGTTTTATGATCGTTGAGGGATGATGCGGATATAGCAAATTGAAAGAAAAAGGTACTTAAAATGTTATTTTTGTACAAAATTACTTATCTTGGCATATTTCATAGCGTATTTTAGCAAATTTAGACAAAATGTCGGGAAAATATATCCCTTTCCTTTATCACAGGAACCCGATATATCAGTAGAATGCTAAACTATAATGTAACGAATCAACGAAATTCACTTTTTTCAAGTGCGCCAAAATTCTAGCCGAATCTAAATCAAGTGCACTCTCATTATTTATGAATCAATGGCGTAAAAAAAATTAGAACCTGAAATTGTTACCAATCATTTTTCTTTCTATTTCAGTATTTTTTTTTTACAATTAAATTTTACCATATATGCATTGCATCACATCTTTAGTATTATTGTTTTTTTGTTTTTGTTTTTTTTTTAAATTACCTCTTAATTACAAAAACGCTCGTTTACGTTAAGAGAAAAATAGTTACACCTTGGGTATAATTATCATACAGGTGTTCAATTAATTTCCACTTCTGACCTTAATAATAAGCTTTATCTAAATAATGACTTAATATGAAGATAAACACTATAATTAATATTTAACTGTAATAGTTAAGTAATTACTAAGTATGAAGATAAACAGTATTATAATAATAAATATTTAACTCTGCATTTTCATAAAAAGAACGTTGCATGCATCATACTTAATTTCAAATTTCTGCGTTCAAAAAATAATAGAGCAAGTAATGAAATATTAATATAAAATTTCAATATTGTTTTTTTTAATGTCAATATCTATTCTATATCATCATATGGAAAAAAAAAAAAACGTTTACAAATCATTTCAAATAAGCATTACAAAGCAATTTAAACATTCGAATTACAATTTTGTGATTTTTTTCTATTGTGCACTACATTAAGCATACTGTTTGGCAATACATCATAATAGATCTTTTAATATTTGAATATATATATATATATATATATATATATATATATATATATATATATATATATATATATATATATATATATATATATATATATATATATATATATATATATATATTTGTGCCTAGACAATAATTTAATAATTCAAATTGAAACAATCTTCAAAATCATTCGAGAACACGCTTTACAGCAAAAGATTATTGAGGAAGAAAAATACCGATTAATTGAAAATTATATTTTGGCGTACATCTTATTTTGGTGGAAAGGAAAAGTCAGACAAGTTATCTTTACCTTATATTCTTATATTTGATGTTTACACGAGTTTTGGATTTCTTTGATTTACTTTGGAAGACCAAAACTTAAGACACCTTGGTTGTAAAGCAGTGAATCAGGATTGCACTCAACTACATCGCTTGAAATTAAACAATTCTGTATGCTATTTTAAAATTTTTCAATGATATTTAAACTAAGATATATATCTTTACAAATTCTACATTTGGCATTTATTTAGCCTTATGTTAAAAAAACAACAATGGGTAATGCACATCATTAGCCTAAAAAATTTCCCAGTTAAGGGAAACAAATGCTGT